AAGGTGTACATTTTATTAGTATTGGCTTTGTAAGAAACCAGCTAATTTTGTTATTAAATTCTATATTATATTTTCTTTGGCATCAAACAAATCTGGGTTTGAGAATCAATTCTGCCATTTATTAGATGGGTGATCTTGAGCCAGTTACTTTACCACTCTGAACTCGGTTCTCTTACAAAGGATGCTAACAGTATTTGTTTCATAAGGTGTGTTGTGAAGATTAAATGAAAACACAAGTAACATTTTTAGCTCAGCAGCTGGCACATTATAAATGCTTAACAAATTATAGCTACCATTAGTATAGCTACTATCATAGACAATTCCGTTTCTTGAGAACACTATGTAAATGATACAGGCCCCAGAAACTCCCCTCTGTAACCGAACCACCACCAGGATATTCAGGCAGTCATTTTTTGCTAACAAGGTACTAATATAAATAAGCAGCATTCCATAATTTTAAAATCTAACAATGTCCATTCCAAGAATTTCAGCAGCCAACTATAGATAAGGTCCCCCCCAAAAACTAAAAGGTTAGAAATTAATTATACAAGACGAATATAAGAAATCAAAGGTCACAGGAAAAAAATAAATTTTTTTGCTAAGCAGACACCCTCTATGCTTCCCTGTCATGCTACTGATTTATCTCAGATGCATCGCTACTAAAGCAATAAAGACACAGATGGGCAAGTTATTCTTAACCACAGCGGTGTTTGATACAGCGTCAGCCCCATTTATTCACTTTAAAAAGCACTTTACGTGGCAGATCATGCACAGTAAGTAAAATACTTACCTGTTTCTCTTCATCTGGCATGTTTTTTTCCAGTTCGATTAGGTATTCTTCGTCGAGTTCGGAGGAATTCACATCATCATCAGGTTTGTTCTCAACCTTGTCCACTCCTGGTTCCTCCTTCTCAAATGAGGCACTGCAGTCGTGAAAGTGCTCCTCTTCGCCCTGGTCCTCCTGGGGGTGGGCCTCAACATCCTCCGGCAGCTTGTTCTGGGGCTGGTGATCTTTGGGATGAGAAACTGAAGGACCAGCACATTGTGCTTCCTGGGGATCTGAAACTTGCAAACCACTGAACAGGTCCTCTGGAACCCTACAGTTTTCTGACTTCTCCCCCATGCTGAACCCGTGAGGGAGGTGAAGCAGGTTCTGGAAAAACGGAACACACGTTGGGCAACGGTGCTTATATTCAAACACAATCCTCTCACACCCGAGCAAACTTCTCCATCAAAGCTCAAAACACACTCTAGCTTCCTTTTGTTATAATTTATTATATATAAACAGTATCAGGAGCCCATGAATAATGCCAAATACCACTTTAACTGATATCCCTTTCAGAACTTCTTATAAGCAACAATAGGGACCTATTTGAATGTGACTTCTACTTTCCAATGCTCGGTGGTTGTCCAAGAGCAAAAGAAAGGCAGAAGCTAAAACAATGGCAAGATAAATGAAGTGAACCGAAGCTTATTCAGGATGAAAACCCAGGACCTAAATAAGAAACTACACCCTGTCTTTCCAGCACCACCACACGAAGGTCAAGAATAAGTTTCTGGGGTAAGCCACTTTGGGCTCCCTCCCTTGCAGCAGGAAGTCTGTATATCCGCCCCCAAGCTTGGTTCCCCTCACCCCCCTTCCATTTTGTTTTCTTCCCGTCCCCAAAAGAGTAAGTTTCTGGTGGAACTCAAAATGCAAAGTGATCACCAACTTCACCCCAATCCGAGAGACAGAGCCCGTGCAGGTAACCGTGGAAGGGGGGGCCCTGGCCCAGGTGGTCCAAATGAGGGTCCCCGTGGGGGTCAAAATCAGGAACTAAATAAGAACGGTTCTCAACCCTGGGGCACAGAGTAACACCTGGGGCGCTTTAGTCCAGCTTTTACACCCCACAGATTCTGATTTATCGGTGTCGCTGGGTTAGGGCATCTGTCATTTTAAAAAGGCGTCCCCGGTGATTCCAATGTGCAGCCCACTAAGAACCACTGCGGTTGAAGCTGAGTCAGACGTCGCAGCCCCACCCTTTCGGTAGCAGCAAAATTACACCAACGACCCTTGGGTCGCGACGAGAGCCCGAATTCGCCCCCGCTCGTCCCAAGCAAACTTAAAAAAACAGCACTATCCGAACAGGGAGACTGCGCCGCCACGGCAGTGCTCCGGCCTCCCCGCTCCCAGGTCTACCGGAAGGACGCAGGAGTCTGAGGCCCCAGTTTTAAGAAGGGGCCACGCCGCCCTTCCCAACGGTTCGTCCTCCGGCTGCGTCCCTCACCGACAACTAAAAACACCCAGCGGGTTACTCACCGCTTCACAGCTCCTCTCACCTTCCCAGCCTGCTAGACCCTCTACTTCCGCTTAGTCAAGTACACTTCCGTCGGCGCCGGCCAATGGCGTCGCTGTTGGTAGAGCATTCTGGGAAATGTAGTGGAACGGCGCGATGTAACGTCATTGTACGGCCTGGAGCACCCGTGGCGGCGGCCATCTTGTGTTACGGCGAGACTCCGCGGCAGCACAAAGGAAAAAAGGCCGTCTCTGTGGCGTTCCTCTCCCTCCTTCACCTGACTGCCCTCACGCTAGCAGTGTATGGAGGAATCTTGAAGCATAAACCTTATCCAAAAGCAAAGTCTTCCCTCTAATGGTCTTCAAAGTGTGCCTTTCAAGGCCCCGCTATATCAAAACAGTGTTCATACTAATACTGTTACTTGCCTTCCCCATAGTCCCTGGTGGAGTTTTCCGGAGGCTCAGCGGACTGGGTGCAGACCGCGCGCTATGAGAACCAGCTGTCTTCTATTAAAGACAAAGATTTGCAAGCATGGAAAACAATGCTCCTCTTTCCACTACATGTAGTTTGTTTTGGAAAATAGTTATTTATAAAAAGATTATTTAAAGTTAGCTTATAATGGGTGTAGAGTTAACTTTAAAACACTGTAGTATTTACTGACTCATTTAAGTTTTAATTTCTAATACGGTGAGTATTGATAGGCGTAGCCCACATAAACAAAAGCTTTCTGTGCTCCTCAGTAATATGCAAGAGTGTGATGAGGTTCTGGAACGACACGGCCCTGCTGACCTACCCGTTCATCCAAGGAGTGCTCACCAGACACCAGGCCTTGGGCGAGAGCTCAGAGGTGAGGTTCCCGTAAGGTAGACAGACAGGTAGCCGGCAGTGGGAGCAGAGGACTAAGTAAGTTTCTGCAGTTCATTGCAGAGAGAGCTGGAGGGGCTGTTTCCGGAAGAAAGCAAACTTGTTTTTTGAATTTATGTCTACGTGAGGTTATTCATACAGTTCTATTTTTATGCAAGTCAAAAGCTTTAATATACCAAATGTAAACATTAAAAATGTATAAAAAATTTGAAACTAATATTTTTAATTTTTAAATATAGCAGGAACTTCGTAAATATAAGTAGTTAGTCCTCTTATGACTTATAAGAAGTGCAGTTAATTAAATTTTGGTGAATTTAGGAGCAAAATAAATAATAAATGTCCAAAAGTTCATCCATGTGTCCAGAAAGGCGTAAGAGGCTGGTCCAAGAACAAGGGGGGACCTACCTTACTTTTGGATCCCCTAACACATCTCACCTACAGCTGTGCCAAATGCTGGGCATCGAGGAGACACAAGCAACGGTTCCCCTCTTTTGAACAGGATGGGCGACTTGCCTAGAAACTTCAACAGAAACAGATACCAGAAAACAAAACAGAAACAGAAAGCAAGTGTGCACAATACAGTTAGACCCTCAGAAGGCAGACAGAGGGGAGTCTGGACCCAAGAAACACCAAAAACTCCCTGAGAAAGTAGCCAGCGCAAAGAGCTCTGTGGGTACCAGCACCTGGTTGCTCACCGGCCTCTGGGTTGCTGGGGTTCGTCTTCTTTGGGTCCGTTTTCAGGTGCCATGAAATGTCAAAGGTTCAGAAATAGCCAAAGTAAAACCCATGAATCACTGAAGTAGAAACTAGTAAAAATCTATCGTGCACACACCAGACACACTCAAAGCAAAACACAGAATGAGGCGCAGGGATGATCCATTCTTATGAAGCAGCTTATATAGCGAATGAGGAAGCGGCGACTGTTTTTTCTCCGCAGTGATTGGCAATAAGCTAAATTAATGACTAAACTGGTTTTATCTGCTCAGGGAACTCTCAAGGCTGGTCTCCATTTGCTTTCCATTTGAACAATAAGTAGCTGAATGATGCTTAAGTATAACAGTGGTTCTCAACCTTGGCGGCACATTAGAATCACCTGGGAATCTGTTTAAAATCCTGATTTCTGATGAGGCCCAGAAATCAGGATTTTAAACAGATTCCCAGGTGATTCTAATGTGCAGCCAAGGTTGAGAACCACTGGTATAGAACATAAAGCAAGACCCATAGTTTTACAGATGGAAGCCCACCTGTCAGTTCCTGGGACCGCGGAGATTTCGTCTCAGCACTCACGGCCACTCGAAAAGGAAGAAAGGCTTCTCATCGAGAGGGCGGTTCTGGGGTTATTTCCCAGGGCAGAGGCCTTGTGTGTCTTGTTTACAGTTGCAAGTTGTCAGTGAACTTCCTCTTAGCACATGGATGAATGATCTTTCAGGAATTATGGTCCGAACACTGTCCATTCAGTGCTCTGGTGAGTTGCATAAAGAGATTTTGAGACTTCTGGAATTATCTTATAGGATTCTTGTCAATGGTTTCGTGTCTTATCTAAAACACAGAAAGAAAAGTGCTTAAAAAAGAAAAAAAAATGCTTCCCTATTAACACCGCTTAGCACAGTAAGTGCTCAATAAACATTTGCTGTTACTGTAATCTTTACTACTCACGAAGGCCTCACAGTATTACCACCATTCTGATCAATTATTAATAGTGATGGGAATTTAACTATCATTAGTGTTACTAATGATAATTAACAATATTATTAATAGTGATAATATTTGTGCAGCTTTCATTCACATCCCCCAAGACAGGAGACTGAGCACGTAAGTTTGTGGAAAGAAGGAGGAAGCTGAACATGAATGAATAAGGAATGAATGAATGCTAGGCACCATGTTAGACCCTGTGGTGGGTACAGCAATAAATCAGGATGGTAGTGAAGGAGCCATTTTCTCTTTGCTTTTCTTTCTCAGGGAGCAGCGGGTGATTTCTTAGTGTTACAGTCAGTAAGGGGCTGCCCTCTTGGTCTGTGGCCAGCTCTCCTGGGAGCAGGGCAGGGACTAGGGAGAAGTGAGCAAGTGTCAGCATGGCGGAAAGTGATGGAGGATACAGGAGAAGGAACCTTATATGCAAGGTGGTCCTTTGGGTCACGGCAAGACAACAGGATTGCTGCCCAGTATGGGGGTTAAGAGTGAAGGTGCTGCAGTCAGACGGCCTGAGTTTGCTCTGCCTTTTAGCGGCTGTGTAATCTGATCTCAGACAAGTCACTGAACCTTGATGCCTCTTTCCTAAGGTTTCATGAGGCTTAAGTGGGATAATGAACCTAAACCTGGCACACACTTTAACTGGAAAGAAATTGTTTTGTAGAGAGTCTGCAGGCAGACATGGAAATCACTCCTGCCTCCCCAGTGACTTATTACGCCCACACTGTGCTAAACTATTGGGAGGTTCTGTGCTTTTATGCTCCCTGGATAGAGATTTAATAAATCTATGCTTTCCTGGATCGGTCCTCTCAGCGCCCAAAGTGGATATATTAATACCATGAGGCTTACTGAGCCTGGCTTTGGGAATAAAGCTTTATACTCTGGGACCATTCTTCATCTTCCCCCAGAGTTGGGGTACCTGAACTTGCCAAAGCAGGTCCAAATCCAGCAACAGTCAGGGGTGCCAAAAGGTTCCTCAAGGGAGAGATGTATATAAAATACATAATTTAGATGGAGAGCCTGTATAGCACTTCTCAAAGATGCTATTGCTCTTTATTCTTTTCCAGTTCCAATCCTCAAACTGAGATTTCTCATAGGAGACACAGTCAAGAGTTAACATTCTGAGCATTTAAATATCTATATTTCTGTTTTCCCCTAGATCAGCATGTTCACTAGCAGTAAGATATGAGTCATAGATGTAATTTCAAGTCTCTAGTAGCAGCATTAAAAACAGTAAGAGAAGAAACATTAATTTAAATAATGTTTTATTTAACCCAATATGTCCAAAATATTATTATTTAAACATGCAATCAACATGAAAATTAACAGAATATTTTACATTCTCTTTTTCATACCAAGTCATTGGGATCATGTGTGTATTTTACTGTTATAGCACATCTCAATCTGGACATTAAGTTTTCATTGAAAATACTTAAATCTATATTCAGATTTCATAACATTTATAGTTAGAAAAGTAGATTCATATATCCACGTTTTAAAAAATATACTTCCCAATGACTGAATCAAATATTAGTTTTTAAATGTGTTTATTTTTAAAATATTATTTTATTGAATTTTAGAGAGAGAAACATTGATGCAACATCAATCGATGCCTCTTGCATGCCCCTACTAGAGATGGAACCCGCAACTCAGGCACGTGCCCTGACCGGAATTGAACAGACAACCTTTCCGTGCACAAGAGGATGCCCAACCAAACGAGCCACACCAGCTAGGGCTACAAGTAAGTTGAATTTAATTAAAATTAAGTAAAATGAGAAGTTTAAATCCATGGTTGCACTAGCCACATTTTAAGTGCTCAATTGCTGCATAAAGCTGGTGTCTACTGCATTAGATGGGACAGGCTTAGACCTTTGAGAACAATAGCTAATGGACATTCCTAGAGAACTACTATGTGTCAGGGGCTGTGCTCATTATGTAAAGGGTTGTGCTCATTATTGTAAGTCTTACCTACAACTTGTAATTGTAGGCAATACCCACAATAACCCTGGCCTCCCCGCTTTCACCGTTGCTTCCTATCCTCCCTTCACCATTCAGGAAGCAGCCCGATCCTTTAACAACACGAATACCAAACAAGTCTTAACCT